CAGGGCACCCAGTGGAAGGGAACTGGGAGAGTGGGGTTGGCCAGGGTGTGATGGACGTTCCTGGGGTCTGAATTGTTGGAGGTAACGGAACTGGGTTGTCGATAAGGGAGGCTTATGGGAGGGACGGGTCGGGGCTCACTGCAGGTTTCAGCCGAGTGGGGAACTTACCTTTCTCAGGAAGGGAAGTGGCCCAGTGGCCACAGTGTCCCCCACGCTGCCCTCCCAGTGTGACTCTCACTGGAGCCGTCCAGTCCTGGGTGTGGTCAGTTTGGCATAAAGTCAGCAAAAAAGCTGACTCCAAGTCTGGATGGCTGTTGTTCTCTCTGGGGACCTGGGCGAACATCCTTAACGGGCACCAGTTCTGCCCCAGCCCTGGGGGCTGACTTCATGGAGCAGTCACGGGGTGTCCTTCAGGTCCAGGGACATTCGCAGGATTTCAAAGTCCTGTTTACAACTTGTAAAGGCCCTGGGGCAGGAGTGTGGAGCAGGACTCAGCGAGACATGGATGCTGCGGTCTGAGCTTGGGACAGAATTCCAGAGACACGTGAGGCCCATGGTGTGCTATGAGGTGGAAATTAAGACCTGGTATCTGTGCTGCCGTGACATCTGGTGGCATGGGGAGGCTCCAACCAGCTGCTCCCTTCCACTCTGTGCCTGTGGGGAAGGGCCCCAGCCAGTAACTGTCCCCATCTGCTTCTCCCTGAGCAGTGGCTCCAGGTCCCAGGAGCCCAGACATGCTGAGTGGGGACCGGGCACCTCCCGTCCTGGTGCTGCACAGCCCTGACTCCCGGCCTTGTGGCCGCCCTTTCTCAGGGCAGCCCGTGTGGCCTGGCCACTGGGTGGGGTCCTTGTCCCAGAGGGAAACAACGGCTGTTGCTCCCACGCATCGGGCTGGGTCGGGTGTGGCGTGTCCAGCTGCCCCCTCTCAGGACGGACGCGGGAGGAGGTGCCGACCAGCAGGCGGGGGAGCCCGCAGACAGGGCTGTCCGAGCTGTTATGGGCGGTTAGGGTGAGAGACACACTTCTCACAGGCAGGGATATAAAATCCACTCATAATTCTTCATTGATTGCATGTTGAAGCAATGTTTGGGATATATTATATTATATAAAATATTAAAATTATTCCATCTTTTCATAGCTTTCTAAAGTGGTTGCCAGAAAATTTAAAAGTGCACTTGAGCCCCACAGTGCATTTGTCTCAGGCCTTCTTGGGCTAGTGCAGACACATGCGAGGTGTGAGACGGGGTGGGCCGGGGCTCCCAGGGGACCAAGCACTGGGTCTGGGGGGTGTTCTGAACAGAAGGGGGCTTGAGGGGCAGCAGGAGCTCCACTGAGTGAGAAGAGCTCCACCGAGGACACGGGTTCAGGGTCGGCAGGTGTCTAGATGGGCTGCACAGAGTAAGATGGATGGGCAGCACATCTGGGACTCAGGAATGGATTTGGGGCTAGGACACAGATTTTGATGTCACTGGTTCTGCCATCCTGAGCAATGGATACAAGTTCTAGGGCTGGAATGGAGAGTGAGTGGAGACGGTGGAGGACCCATTTCACTGAGCACAACACGGGCCAGGCTTTGGTGTTATATAAGATTTTTAGACAACAGTCAAATTTTTTTAATGGAAATTATTTGTATAAATGTGTTACCTCAGGCTGGAAGTACTGTGCATTTGCAATGATAAATGCAAGAAAAATAATGTTTGACATCAGTAGATAAAATAGAAAACCATATATTGAAATATAATAAGATGTTTCATTTGTGGAAAGGAGATCTTACTAGAAAGTAGGTGAATTCAGAGATAAAGACCTGTGGGGAATTCAGAGAAATTTTCTTGTGGTTCTTACATAGGTTGGGTCTTCAGGTGTGGATTTGTCATCAGATGCAGGGGTTGGTCAAGTTTCGTGACTTCCCTCTGGTTTGAGGAAGTTGCACGTTCACCCAACGGCCCCCATGCAGTCAGCTGGGTTGTGAGGCGAGGGAGAGAGAGCTCTGCGGAGAAGGTGCCCGGGAGGTCTAGGAATGGACGGGGTGGAGGGGACAGAGACCCCACAGAGCGATGGTGGCACTGTCTGCTGTGGCCTGAGCAACAGCAGGGGCAGAAGTTTACTTCTGGATAGTGACAGGAAGACAGTTTCCCATTTTGATCATGATTAGCTGTGGTTTAAGATCCACAGGAAGGGACAGTGGTGTGTGCCTTATACGTTGTTTCTGCAGAGAACATGACTCAGCAGGACCACACCGGCCCTGCTGAGTCATCTAAATAGGTCGCCTGACGAGGGACACTTTATAGTCTCTATGTTATTAGATAAGGGCACTGGTTCCGCAAGTCCCACAAACTGCCCACGGCCGCACAGCTGGTGAGAGGCAGAGGCGATGAGACCCGACCCCCCGAGTCCCCTGCCGGTGACACGAGCCATGTGTGTGGGATTCATGGAGCATTTGCACAATGAACAAAGGGGAAGGAGAGGAAAACATCCACCTGCCAAGCAAAGCCTTGGGTGCAGAGGAGAAACCATCCCTCCAGCGGCCAGGCCAGCAGCAGCGTTTATTCTGAATACGTGAGAACCGACGACCCTGGTGCCACAGCTCTCTCTGCCCTTCCTGCCCGCCCACTGCCCCACGGAAAACGCCCGCCGGCGCGTGTGAGCAGAATTCCTCAGGCACGTCCCTGCGCTGAGCTGTGCCCCTGCCGCCCAGGCAAGGCCACGGGCAGGCGGCCAGGCTTTCCTTTTTGAAATCATTGGCCAGCGAGCTGTTGCAGGACCTCCAGTGAGCAGGTGGCCGATACGGGATCTAAGCGCCGCAAACAGGCTTTGAGGACAGCATTCCAGTGACAGTTGTTGGTGTAATTAAAAAGTCAGTACTCATGGTGAACAGGCCTCTCATATCCTGGTAGAAGCACGAAACGACGTGAGCTCATGGAAGCGGGTTTGTTGAAACTGAGGAGAGTCAGCTGTTAGTGAATGAAGAGCTCTGACTGCTCTGTATTTTGTAGGAGAATACATTTTCTCACTAGCGTTCCTCCTCGGTGCTTACCTCATTTTCTTTGGGCCATTGTTTTAATACAAATAAAATTTGGTTCTGAGAGAGATTTGTAATATAATTTTTATTTATTTATTTATTAAATATATCTTTATTGATTTCAGAGAGAGGAAGGGAGAGGGAGAGGGAGCAAAACATCAATGAGAGAGTCATTGCCTGGCTGCCTCCTGCGCGCCCCTTACTGGGGATCGAGCCCAGCACCGGGGCATGTGCCCTGACCAGGAATCGAACCTGTGACCTCCTGGTTCATAAGTTGATGCTCCATCAACCACTGATCCACCCCAGCTGGGCAAAGTTTTAGAGGCTGGTGTTTGATAAACAAGTACTATATTACGATGTCGGCTTATCATTAAACGCCGCCCCTGTCTGTCAGCGTGGAGTAACAGTGACTAGATTTGTGAGACAACTGGAACAAGGGAGGGAAGGAAAAAGGAGAAGACACTGGCTTGCTTAAAGATTTTAGGAAGCTCTTTAAAATTTAGAGAAGTATGTCATTGCTGACGGGGAGATGGAATTTATTTAGAATTTTAAAGAACTACATACATTGATCTGTGAGCTTGTAATTCTGAAGTAGCCAGTGGGTAAACATTGAGAAAAATCAGGATATTCTTACAACTGAAAAATTTCCTGATTTATCATGTTTTCTCAGAGCCCAGCATCCCTCTAAGCAGTTTACTGTGAGATGAAGGTGAATTATATGGTTAGAGTTTATTTTGTTGTGTCCGCTGTTGGTCTTAGTAAGAAAAACGCACTCACTGATTCACATGAATAGGGAACAGAGCAGTTGAACTTGGGGGACTTGTGCTCTCAGGTACTGTGCGTGGGTGAAGGCCACTGTTACACCCTTTAGAAAAGGAAATGAGAAAGTATGTAAAATGAGTCATAATCTTTAAAAATCTGGTGATGAGCTGCACTTTGAATTCGGTGAATGTTGCTTAACATGGACAATATCTCTCATCTCATATAAATATATCTGATGTCCATCCCATTTGGAAAGAAAAGCCACCTTAACTTCTAGCTCCAGAAAGAAAGAAATTAGAACATAAACTGGAGAAACTAGTGAAGCAATAAACGCAACGTCAGAGCTGTGAGCTGCGTGGAAGGCGCGAGGGCCCCTGGACCTGTAAACACATGGTGCTTCATCCCATAGCTTTTCAATAGCGTCGTTCCCCATGGACAGTGACGCAGTACACAGGTCCTGCGTCACTGTCGAGGTGGAGATGCCTGCATTGATGGGATGGGTGGTGGGCTGGGACCCACGTGGAGACAGCCTTGCACACACTAGCTAAGATTACAGTCTGCACTCTCCTCACTTTCCCCCAAATCTCAGACAGATGTTGTTGGAACCACAGTGCACCCAGGATGCCATGCGCTGCAGGGACTCGCAGCCGGTCCCTCCCACAGAGGAAGACAGACAGACAGACACGGGAGGCTACAGCTTTACTTTTCAGCAAGCCAAGGGCGCCGATGGAGAGGCGTGGCTGGGAAATGCCCGTGGGCTCACACGATCACGACGGCCGCTGGGGCAGAGCACGAACGGTCAGTCTCTCCCACAACAGAGGAAGGAGGGGAGATGGAAGCCCTTGATTGAGACCCTGCCTCACCACTGACCTCTTTACAACCTCGGGCCTATCTCTCTCCAAGACTCTGACTTGTCACTTGCACAGACTCAGGTTCTTGGTCACAAAGATTTCTGAAACCTCGTGGTTAACAGAGGAACAGGGTGGTGCGGGGATCCCCACCCTGGAACTAGGAAATGCCCCACAGTGTTCCCTGAAGCGCCCCCAGGGCCGATGCTGGCAGCTCCACTGCGTGCACATAGAGGTTTCCTTTCATGAAAAGACAGGGGGCTTATTCACACAGTCCTCTCCGACGAGCACGCGCTGAGGAACACGGGCGGTGGGGCTCATGGTCTGGTTTCACGGCGATGGGCGTGTGGCGGGCCTGGCCTGTGCCGGCCCTACCTCACCTTCTGCAGCTCTTGCCGCAGCCAGGCCGGCAGGGGCTGCCCGAGTTTGTGCAGCAGCTTGGAGAGCTCCACGTTGTGGTCTCGGTAGTAGCTGGACAGGAAGGTTCTAGACTGAGAAGCAGAGGGAGAGAGGACACTGAAGGAGTCACTGCTGACTCGACGGGACTGTGCAATCTATTCCTCAAGAAGCTTTACAGTTCAGGCAGCTGTCAGTATGTGATTCTTTCTACATCTGCTCAGATTTCACTCATTTCTACCTTTTGAAAACATCTGGCAGAAGTGTAGCTTGGCCGTGGCTCAGACACCAAGAGGCCTCGTGCAGTGTGGGGTTGGTGATGTCCAGGTGGGGGAGACACTGAGAGATGGGGTCTGGTACTAAAGGAAGCGGGGTATGGGCCAGGTTTGGTACCAACTCTATAGACGTCAGCTAGGCAGACACACGTTTCCATTAAATGTGGTCACTTTCTGTAAAATTGGGCCGTAGCATAAAAACCAAAATTCACGATTAAAGAATTAACATGTAACATCACAAAAATATTGTCTATCTATATTCAGGACCAAAACAGATTTTGGAAAAATCATCACGAGCATTCTACTTCAAAACATTATAGGGTCTCGTGGAAAAGGTGATTATATGATGCTCCTCGAGGCTCTGCTCTTCCTGGTCAGGCCAGGGGCTTGGTCCTCACTCGGTGACTGGTCATAGCATAAGCAAGGATGACCACATACACCCATGGCCTTAGTGTATGTTTTCTTTTATTTCTGGAAAACAGTAAGTCTGCACTTGGGTTTCTCTCTGGCGGCACTCACCTCGCACTACACCCCGGTCGGCTGTGATGGAAGCCTGGCGATGCGCATTCTCGTTAAGTACAGGGACCACCCACCCACAGCTTGTTGCTGCCTGTCGAAGGTACATCACCCCTCTTAAGCCCTTCCCAAGATTTTAGCACAAATGAGTCTCTCTTCATAAAACTCCCTGAGCGGCTTGTGTGTCTCCTGTGGAAAGCTCCAGCCACCAGGTAATTCTCACGTCTCTTCCCCGGACCAGACTGTAAACACTTCACTTTCCTGATGGATGCTCAGAAGTAGTGGGGACCTTATGCTGATGTCTTGTGGGTTAAAGTGATTTCAGAAACCCTTTTGAAATTCTCCAGTTCAAAGTTCTAGCTTGAGGACCTCGTGGTCCCCGTTTCCATAGCAATGCCCCCATCGCTCTGTCCCTCCCTTGCCGCCTTGCAGCGGGAGAGGTGCGCATGGCCTGGCTCGCCCGCCCGCTGCTTCCCAATCCCAGCGAAGCCTCCTCAGACCTGCTGTCCCACCGAGACACTCACTTCCCTGCCCCTCTGTAGATTGTACGGCTTCGTGTGTCTTATAAACAAGTGGTCAGCCCGGCTGGCGTGGCTCGGCGGCTGAGCACTGACCTAGGATCCAGGAGATTGCGTTTGATTCCCGGTCAGGGCACAGGCCCGGGTTGCGGGCTCCATCCCCAGTTGAGGGTGTGCAGGAGGCAGCCGGTCAGTGACAACTTTCTCGTCTTTGCTGTTTCTCTCTCTCCCCCTCTCCCTTCCTCCCTCTGATATCAATAAAGACATATTTAAAACAAAACAAACAAACAAGAAACAGTGGTCATAGCCAGTTTACCCTCCCCCAGTAAAGCTGGGGCTTGACGGTTCCGTCCTGGCCCCTCTCTGATACTGCGACAGAATAAGAAACATACAGTATGTGTGGTCTTAGTCCTATTTATGCACAGAGCTCCTGAAACTCTTGGAATTTCCCGGGTGAGAGAGACAAAGTTGTCTTTTGTTATGTTATGAGGTGGCTTTTGGTTGACACCCAAGGGTGGGGCTGGTGGCTGGGAGAACCACCCATGTGATTAGAAAGCAGGAACTTCCAGGCCCACCCCTGCCATCTGGGAGGGCAGAGGGGTGGGGGGCGATCGCCACAGCCAGTGAGTTAATCGGTCCTGCCTGCGGAATGGAGCCGCCACGGATCCCAAAGGAGGGGTCCCGGGAGCTTCCGGCTCGTGAGTGTGGGAGGTGAGGAGGGGTGGGGCACCTGGGGGGCACGGGAGCTCTGTGCCCCTTCCCCCCCGCTGCCTGGGCTCCTCTCCCATCCGGCCATTCCTGAGTGACATCCTTTGATAAAAAACTGGTGAGCTAGTGAGTAGCGGGTTTCTCTGATTTCTGTGAGCCACTCTAGTGAATTAATCAAACCCAAGGAGGGGTCGTGGGAACCTGACTTACAGCCAGGGGCCAGAAGCACAGGTGACAATCGGACTATGCAGGCCTCCGAAGTGGGGCTTGGGGGAGGGCACCTTGTGGGACCGAGCCCTCTACCTGTGGGATGATGGTGCCACAGTGGGTGGATGTGGGACATCCGAGCACTGCCTGGTGTATGGGAGAAGCCCCCCGTCCTGTGCTGTAGGCTCAGCCCCACGCACGGCCTCGGCACTCGGTACGTGCGTCTCATATGTAACTATAACGCTCACACATTTATCCACAGCTCCTGGCCAGTGACCATGTGAGTACTTCACACGTCTGGGAAGCGTTACTGTCCAGGGGTACTTATGCTCTAATTGCACCTGGATGGCAAACAGTGTCTACAGATATCTGTAGATCACGGTCTTGTCTGTCTGTCTGTCTTCTAAATACATGAATCTGCTGCCAGCAAAGGGGAGCGGAGGAGGGAGGCGGGTGGCTCTCCCTCGCTCTGCTCGGACAGGGCTGCGGGGGCTGTGCCACACTATTCCAAAACCAGGACCCCTTACCTCGGGGTCCATGGGGGGGTACTTCCGTCCTTTGCTCTTTCCAAGGCATTTGGTCTTTCCTCCTTCCAGCAGCTGACACCAAAAGCCCTTTTGGGGATCAAACCTACAAAAGACCAAGCATAGAAGCGAGAGTGAAGAATGAAAGGTTGCAGGCGACACAGGGCCTGGGTGAGAAAGCCTCGCCAGCGGGGCCAACGCCCCAGCACACTCATTGCCTCCAGGTATTTAATTCACGTCTGTACATGTTTATTGAACTGACTTCAGAGTCTGAGATAAAAATAAACTGCTATTACATATTCTAGAATATTTGTACTGTGGTGAAAAAACATGATTATTCAGTCCAATCTTATGTTAAAATTATTAAGTTTCATGTTTTACTTATTCAGCCATAAATGATGAAGGCAAGATCATCAAAACTACAACCATCGCGAAGGACCTTCGGAATATTTATTTACTATTACCGTGATTTTCCTGCCTAAATGTATTAATAGGTTTCTCTGCAATCACTCAGGATATGCAGGGTGGAGCAAAAGGAGGTTTACAGTAGTGAGTACTCGAAACACAGATTATTCTTGTATCAGTATTTATTAGTGATTGTGTTATTTTCCATACAGACAGCTGTAAACCTACTTTTGTCTCATCCAGTATATTAAAGTGACTGAATGTAATATAAATACAGTTCTGTGAATATAAACATGAACTAAACAGTCTAATTTGGAAAATATTATTTTTTTTATAGTTCAAAATGTTTGTAGCTTTCAAGGAGAAAATTAAAAGTGTAAAATATACTGTGTTCTAGTTTGGGGACAGCGTGGGGCGCGGGTTGTACAGAGGGATAGTGGAAGGCTAGGGAACTTCCCTTCTTTTGCCGAAGGCAGGTGATCCCCGCAGGTAGCTCGGGTCCCTGCGCTCTTAAAACTGTAGCATGGTTTTGCTCCCACGCTGCGCAAAGTTACAAAAGAAAAGAGGTGTGTCCACTTCATTTGTTTAAACTCAGAGCCGAGGCGATTCAAAATGAGTGTCTGTTTAGGGCTAACAAGACAGGAAAAATGAAAGCAAGAACCAAACAGGACGGGAATTTTAAATTTGTGGCTCTGGGACTTGCCGCACGCACGAACACCGGGAAGCCGTGCATTTTGTTGCTCAGCAGCTGTTTCAGAGGACGGGGCATAACTGGCTGGGACGTAAGTCCATTAGCTGCCGAGCGTTTCGTTGCCCTGGGCCCACCGCGTGACACTGGCGCACCTGCGCTCGCCGCCCGCCCGTGAGCGCGTTTGGGGGAGAGGGAAATTCTCCTCACAGTTCCCTGCCCAGCCCGTTACTGGGACGTGATCCTTGCGGTCCAGCTTGTCCTAGTCCGTGTCATCAATTAAAATTAAATACTTCAAGGGACACAAGAGAAGACAGAGCCATTTCGCACCTGGGCTTTTCAGGGTGCTCCTTGCCTGTGCCAGTCCCGCCCGAGTCTCCTTAACCTCCCAGGGGCATCACTTGGGGCGGCCGTGCAGAGCGAGGGGGGAGCGGCTGCCGCCTGGGTGCCCCCAGAGCACCCCTGCAGCAGGGTGGGGCCCTTGAACTGCATTAAGGCAAAGGCAGCTCTGGCAGCAAAGCCTCGCACCTGAGGCCAGAGCGCCCCCGCTCTCAGGCGCGGGCCCCTTGCCGCCACAGCAGCTGCTGAGACGGAGCTCGCACCACCCGCGCAAGGAGGACCTTCTGGAATCGACGGGCCTTCTTCAGATCGGGTGTCAACCTGGAGCCACGGTGTTCGCTGTCCTGGCCTCGGTTGTTGCAGCGGCGACGCCCTGCAGCCTGAGTCTGAGGAGGGCACTTATTCCTCCAGGCGACGGGCGCGCGGCCCCCGGCTGGGTTCGGTGGGCACGGGGCTGTGAATGAAGATGCCGGCCTCTCGCAGATGGTCAGGCAGCTGTTAGGACAGGAACCGTTTGCCACGCGCGTTCTCTCGTTACATGGAACATCGCCGTGGTTATTAATTTTTTTGAGGGTGGGACGTGCTAGAAACCATATATTTTGTACTTGTTTGTAATCTCTTCTTTCAAAGCAGAACTTTGGCGGTTTACTGAACCATAAACAAGTACTTGTAGCATTTAGGAACCATTCCCTAAGTTATGCTGGGAGGCAGGGGGCCGCGCCCGCATCAGTGATGATTTCGGGCCAGGAGTCAGCGGCGCTCGGTGCCCTCGGTGCCCTCAGTCCCAGGGCTGCCTTGCGGTGGGGGCTCCATGCGCAGGTGGAAACTTCGTTAGGGCTGTTTCCCAGCACGAGGAACAGCCCGATCTTATCGCTGCTTCTGCTGCCCATCTGCTGCCCTCTCTAATGGCCTAATTGCCGACTCCCAGCGGCCGGGGACTGGGAAATCGTATCATCAGGCTTGTTAGAACTTTGTCTAATCGAATAGGCTCCGTTTCAGCCTGCATGGGGGAGTTAAGTACACACACTTTCCAAACGTGTCCTGGCTTCCTGAAGGTTTGTTTCTGTGCGTTGTTTTGCTTGTTTACATTTTTTCCATCTTTAATTCTGCAAGGACATGGTTTTAGTTTCCCAAGGTGACTGCGGTGATGTCTCCCACAGTCCTTTTGAGTGGAGCGCACCTTCCTCTCCTGGATCCGGTCCGTGTGACTTGGGTGCAGTCAACAGAGCGTGGCGTCAGTGACGCCCCGCGACCTGCAAGGTGAGGTCAGAGGAGGCCCTGGCTCCCTTGGACCACTCCCCCGACACGTCACTCCTCTCAGAACACAGCCAGCGTGCCGTGAGGAAGCCTCACAGTGAGGTGTCCTCCCGCTGAACTCGGCCTCTGATCTGTCCCCAACCAGGAGGCAGAGGTGAGGGAGACGTGAAGGAGGAGCTGGGTTCAAGGTGGCCAAGGTCCTGGACTCACCTCCTCCCAGAGACACGTCCCTCTGCAAGGGACCTGGAAATGGTGAACGGAGCCTCCACCAACGGGAAGGACAGGCAGACAGCCTCCTAGGGAAGGAAAATGCACCCTGGCCATCGCCCTGAGGTGACCGGAGGGGCGCCCAGCAGACAGGAGAGCAGGAGAAGGAGCTGATGATCAGGAGACAGAGCAGTGAGCTCACACGAGAGGGCAGCACACAAACAAGAACTGAAAAAAGTGAAGGTGCCTAGGGGACCTCAGGGACCTCGAGTGGACTTAATTCACAGCAGAAAGGCCCCGGGCCAGGAGGCTTCTCTGACGCACTCTGCCCGCATTGAAAGAAGACACCAATCCTTCTCAAACTCTCCCAAACCCTGAGAGGAGGGAAGGCTTCGGAACACACTATAAAGCCAGCGTCATCCTGGTACCAAGACCAGAAAGGGCTCCACCAAGAGAAACAAAATTCCAGGCCAATGTCCCTGGAGAACGCGGATGCAGAAATTCCCCCAAATCCTGCAAGACATGAAGGATCACACACCCGGGTCAAGTGGGATTTGCTCCAGGGATGCAGGCTGGTCTGAGACTCGCGAATTAATATGACTACAAAACACCACGAAGTTGCAGGATAGAAGCCTGTGGCATTTCTATACACAAACGATGGATCGCTGGAAAGAGCTCAAGAAAACAACCCCATTTACAATTGTATCAAAAGGAGTGAAATGATTAGGAATAAATTTAACCAAGGAGGAGAAAGACCTGTGCATTGAAAAAGTAGCCTCCAGAAGACTCCAGTCCCCAGACATTCAGGTCACACCCACATGCCCACATCTTCCCAGTTGTGGCCCCAGGTATTATGAGCAGAGACAAGCTGTCTCAACTCCCAGCCCACAGAATCCACGAGTCAATAAAGTGGCCGTGGTTATTGGCTGGTAGGTCTGGGGATGGCCTGTCACCCAACAACAGATTGCTAGACATTACGCCTGATTATATCTGATCTGGTTACCTAATTACATTAATACAGAATAAACAGAATGTAACCCTTTCCCCACTCTGTCCAAAATCATGCTCACTGTCACGGACCTCATGATGCCACCAGAGCTGTATCCGGACCCGTAATCCGCTCGGGGGAAGAGACTAGATCTTTTCGCCTTTGCAACCTGCATTCCTGGGACACCTTCTGCATGGGGTGGGCACGTGAAAAGTGGACTTAACCAAACCTCTGCTGGGAAAAGCTCACAAAAAGGCACCTTGGGATACACAGTGCCGCAGGGGAAGCTCTGTGAGCAATGAGGATGCGCCCTGAGTGCTCCTGAGTCGAATGGTGATGTAAATTCATAGCTGGTTAATGATGCTGTATACATGCCACCGGGGATAATTTATGACGGCAAGTAATGGAGATGCAGGCAGGCATGGGAACAGACTCACGTAAGTGCTTCGGAGTAATTATAATGAGGAGTCACTCCCAGAAACTTCTGGACTTCATCCATCACAGTAGCTGGGTCAGATCTCAGCTGCTGTCCATCAACAATGAGCAACTGCAAAGTCAGAAATAGTTGCTGCATGAAGAACAGAGCTAGAAAGTAGGCTGTGCTGTCTCCCCTGACCCTGGATGACACCAGTAAGAAAATATGCGCTACACAGAATACAATGAATGTTTACTATTCTGGTGTCTCCAAACGAACAACAGTTAAGATTTGCTAGAGGCATTACCTATAACCCTTAAGTAACTTGATTGTAAATCTGAAATAAACAGACACTCTCTTGATTTAGTGGTTCAGTAGAAACGTGATTCTCTGTCTGCTGTGCATTCAGACAATGATCCAGCCTGAGAGCCTCCATGCGCTAACCTGGAGCCCAGGGCTTAGCCACAGTGGGTGTGTGGGTGGAAGCCACCCTCTGTTCTCCTTATAAACCCTGACAGGGAGCTCAGGTCCCGGTCCTGCCCAGACCTGGAATGAGGAGCATTTCTGCTCTGCCCCACATTCCTAGAGCAGCTAGAACACCTCCCGCTGTGACGATCTAGTGCAGAGCTGCTGCTTCCCAGCTCTGGGGACAGGCGCGCTCGGGTAGGGGCATGTGTTTGTGTGCCATCAGCCTGGCGTCGGGCTGGCCACTCTGCTCACAGATGGGAGTGGTTGCCCGTGACCCATGGAGTCCCCTGTGTGAGGACCGACCCTTTGGGACCAGCCACTGTCAATAGGAAGATCCCAAGAACGTGTTTTATGCTGCTGACCCCATTTTAATGCTTTGATTGACCTTAAACCTGCAAAAACCCACCTTTCTGCCTTAGGCGCAATTTTCTCTGGTTATGAATCACTGTCTGTGGCCATGCTAATTCCCACTTTCTGTTTGTCAGTGCAACACAATCATGACGTAATATATAAAAAGAGCAATCATTTCAGGACCTTACCTGAGAGGTCGCAAAGTGAGCCAGCCACCGTTCTATGTGGACCGCGTACCACCCCGGCACTAGGCATCGTCTCTGCAGAGTCTTCAGGTCGGGTGGGGCCCACTGCCCCATTGTAATCACTTCATAGAAATTGAACCTCAGGGCGGCTGGGTCTTCATGTGACCGCTGATGCTTCAATAGAGAAGTCGGTTGTACAATTAGTCTCCTCTGAGGCGGCACAGTTGACATGCGTGCATGCCTGATGTGTGTATGTGTGTGTGCCTCTTTCATTTCATAGAAGTAATAAAAACTATGGTGAAAGTGCTGAAACCCGGGTCATGGTGCTGATTCAAAGCAACGCCTTCCACATGCACCAGGCAGTGTGCAGACAAGCTCTGGCTGTCTGCAAATCTAAAATGTTTGGGTGCGGGGCAAGGAGCTGAGCGCAGGAGTTTGCTTATGGATCTGATGAGGATGTCGGGGGCCAGACAGAGCACCCTGTTGAGAAGGATTTAGGTTGGCAGGAGGAGGCTCACATGTCACTGAACTCGTGGTTTTGTCGCAGCTGCCTCTGTGGGTTCTGGCACTTGTCCCACATCCCTGTGTGGCAGGGCAACGCGGACAGAGGGGCAGACACCTGTCCCTGATGCTTGTCCAGGTGTCGAGTTCCTGTCCATGCTCCCACGGTCCTTCCTTTATCTATTAAGGGTCTCCACCTACGCTTGCTAATTCCCCAGCACTGCTGCACGACTGTGTCTCAGCACCAATCTCTCCTCCAGCCATCCGGCCACTGCTGCTCAAGCTCAGGAGCCACAGGAGGGTGAATGAGCGAGTGCAATTCACAAGCATCAGAGAACCGCGCAGAATCGGGAGGTCAGAAAGCTGGACACGGGCCCTGTCTTCAAAGGGGTTGACATTCCTCAGGGAGACAATAGACCAACAGGTGTCCTAATGTCCACATTTGACTAGAGGTACGTGGTATTTGCCAGGGATCTGGGTCAGTGGTTGAAGCTTTTGAGCTAACACCTAATGAGCGAGGTTTCGGTAAGCAGGAAAAAATCACCACCACGGAACTAAGAGAACGAGGGTGCTGCCGTAGGTGTGCGTGGGGGGCTGAGGGCGGGCGAGGGTGTGTTCATTCCGGAGGTGTCCAATGGAGAAGACTTGCTGCGGTAGAAGGGGGGAAGCACATTGGGACGCAACACAACTGTGATAGCAGGTGTCATACATGAGCTCAAAACACAGGCAAAGTGAAGGGGCTTAGGAAGCGGCCAGTGTTAGGGAGGCTGCCGAGGGTCTGCGCAGACGCTGTGCCGAGTGCAGAGGCCGCGCTTACTTAACAGAACGTGTGGAAACTACACAGCTCGGCAGAGAAACACAAGCACACTGTGTGCACGTCAATGCTGTGCTTAACCTGCTCCGCAGATTTATACCAGTTCAGCACCAGCTGTCCTTCATTTCCTGCAACTAAGAAGATTAGCATAAAATATGGCCAGAAGTCACAAAGGGACATGTTTTATAGAAAAATATCAGGACGCTCCTCTGCGAAGCCCATTATAAGAACGTGGGGCGCAAACTGCAGGGGCAGATGAGACTCAAGGGGTTTCTGAATTACGCCGCTTAGGGTCGGGCTCACGGCATCCACTGAGTGGACAGGACCAGCTGAGAAACGTGGGGAGTCTGGGAACCCTATTCTTAGCAGTGTGGCAATAGAAAGGGTTATGACAAAAATAATTCCTTTCAAACGTGTTTGTGTGCAGAATTTACTTGAGGAGCAGGTGCAGGTTCTCTTCCACTGAGATGGTGTAACCTGTGAGAAAGACGTTCCTTGGACCCGGTGTGAGTGGTGACCCCGTCTCCCGCTAGCAGCGTGTGCCCCACTGGCCCCGCCTTTGCACTCGGAACTTTTCCTGAGGGCTGAGTGTCAGTGCTTTTAAGGAGCAAGTTTCTCTTGCTTTGCCATATGAATTTTCATGAAGTGAGACCAGCACATTATTGTATTTTGAAGGAGACACTGACTCCCAGGTTCTAATTCTAAATTCTGCATCTCCCCCCACATCCAGCGTGTTACCTGGGCCCCAACCACTCACAACCCCAACTGGCAGTGCAGTTCTCTTCTGAGACTGTCCCTCGTTATTTGTTCTGGGTGATATGTGTTTATTGAAAATAATGAAAAGCTAAGAAAAGAATGAAGCGAAAAGTTACGTGACCAATTATCTTGCTATGTTCTTTAAAAATTCCCTGTCTTCATTTGGGCATTGCTCCCTGCACCCATAAACATACGAAACGCACTGCGGCGCGGGGATCCTGGTTCGTACGCAGCGCGTTACCACAGTCAACACAACGCCCCGACTTCCAAGGCCTCGTCGCTGCCGGCAGCTCCGCGCTCCTCTGGCAACTCCATCTCCCCTTCCTCTCAAACAGCTGCCCCCCAAATTGTCCTCTTTTGCATCAGGCGAACTCACCCTCAGCTTCTTAAAGCAAGGAGAGGCCACCGCAGTCGCTGCAGTTTCTCTGTCCCAGACCTTCCCGTCTCCTGGCTTCTGCCTCTGATCCCGACTCTGTCTCCAGCGGGGACTGTCCCAGCTCTACCGGCTCCACTCAGTATGACGCCGACTGTGATTCCTTATCACCATCTCCACCTGGCCACACGGGGGCCTCCCCACCCCACACCGTGACTCTCTCTTCACAGGGACACAGAAAGTGACAACCAATAGGTTTTGGAACTGTGGCCACACAACATAGGAAGAACTGGTGTCCCACAGGCTGACGCACGCAAGTTAGGCCCCGCTCATCGCGTCCACGCGCCAATGAAGAGACACCAAGCAAAGCCACCTGACCGAGGACCTGCTGCATCGAGTCCCCGTCGGTGGCCCAGGTGGGGGATCTCACTCGCCCGACTCTGCTTGCACCAGGGTTCTGTTGATTTCAGTCCTGGGCATTTCCTGGTATTTCCTACCCCCCGTATTCCACCTGCTGTCACAGCGCCACCTCCACTGCTCACGTTGAAACCGTGACCACCGCTTCCACCGCCCTCCTGCCTCTTACCTGGTACCAGGAGTATGCCCTGTCAGAGGGGTCGATGAGGATGGTGATGATCTTGGCCTTGGGGACCAGGGAGGCAGCTCGCCTGGGTGCCTCTTCTGAGTGGAAGTAGTTAGCGCTCTTTTCAAACAGAAAGTCGCTGGTGATGTTGGATGGCGTTGGGAAAAAGTCCATATACCTGAAGGCAGAGAAAGGCAACCTGAAGTGTAATATTCCCCTGCCTCACTAGGGCTATAAAATAACTTGTACACTTTTACATTCACTTCGACCAGCTTCTGATCCTTGGTGTTATAACTTCAAATACTGGCTATTCTACACACTTCGCCTTGTTCGATGAACCTTCCAGGGGAAGGAGTAGGGCGGGCAGGTGGGCTGTTAGGAGCAGAGGAAAATCCATTAGATTTAGATGCTGTTCTGTGCTATCAAATGCCAAATCCAGAAACATCAAGCTTACCCTTGGCAGACAGCAAAGGACACCAGGTTGCCTAGCAAATATTTTAAAACAGAAAATTTATGTTTGCAAACTCCTTACACTCAGGTTAAAGCCCACAAGAGGGAGACGTGAGTCAGGAGCTATAGGCGCCGAGCAGAAGGGGCCCGGCTCCTCGGCAACCCCTGAGTGTCTGTGTCCCATGGTGGGCCCTGCACTGTGATTCGTGGGAGCCGCTGTCTCTCTGGGTAACCAAGGAGTGTCCTGCCCATGGATCGGTGGCCCTGGGAATGTTCCCCTGCCTGTACATCACGGAATCAGTGTTTTCAGAGGTTAATTCAGGCTTTAATTACGGAGCAACCCTCCCCAGCTCAGCACTGCCTTCACCCCGCATGTGCTGGAATGAAACGGAGCAGTGGGGAATGTGAAGGTGCCTGGAGGACTCCTGCCCCTCTCTGACGTTTGTTATGTTTCCCCAGCGTGAAGGGATGAAAGCTTCCCCCACATTCCTGCTAACACCCTGCGTTCCATTTAGGTCACAGACACAGTCGCAGCTCTGCTTTTAGTAACTTGCCAGCAGGATGGATAGTGTGGGCCTAGGTGTGAGGGGACGCGTCTCCACTGAGGGGGAGGCGGATCCGTTCCCCCCCGGCCCCACTCTAGTCCCAGATGCTCCGACAGGACAGGTTCCTGGGTGACAGTGACGGCAATTCCACGCCACAGGGGAGCACTGAGGAGACTGTTCCCAGGGGACAGGTGCCCTGAACACCAGCACCGTAATCTCTAGAAAATTGGGACAGAGCTAGGAAAAGCCCCAGAGAGCAGACCCGTTCCAATGCCAGGTTTACTCTATTTCAGTTCAGGAAAAATGTTGTGATTTGATATATTTTCACAGTTTATTAAATGCAAAGTAATATTCCTTTTACACACTTGTGTGACTAGCATTAATATGGCTTTGGGACTGCTCTGTTACTGCCATGACAAATGTCAGCTTACATCATAGTACAACCTTCACAGTCCCTGTGGCTAATGAAGATACATGTCACAGCGTGCAAAATAAAACCACCTCCTGGCTTATGTGTTTCCTCAGGCATCACTCTGAAGACAAATTATGTATCTAGTTAAAAAAATTCTAGGCACAATGGAATAATAATATGCTTAAGGAGAATTTTAAATATCCTTATGAATAATTCTCATGAAAAATATTCCACAATCCTCTTTATTCTACTATATTAATTTACCAGAAAAGTATAATCATGGCACCATCCAAATCCAACTCCAGGCCACACTGATTAGGCACATCCCTGCCTTGTAGTAAAGGTCGTCCTAGAAGTTAATTTCTAATCCACTGCGGTGGACTCGAGCGTAAGATGTGGTGTGTGGTGCGGATGCCACGTGCGCCCCGTGGCCGCTTGGCTGCATGTGTGCGCGCACTGAAGGGTGTGCTGGGGGCTCCTCACCAGTCTATCCCCTTGTGGTAGTTGTTTCCATTAAAAAACTGCACCTCCTCAAAGGTCCGGGGGCTGGGCAGGCTGCCGACGATGGACGGGTGCATCAGGAGAAACAGGTACAGGGCCGTTGTTCCTGGCCGGGAAAGGGGGCAATGAAAGGAGAGAGGAATATTATTTCAGCAGGATTTCTGCCCCAAAAGAAATATTCAATTCTTTAAAGAGTCAAAGTAATTTCCTTCAAATCAGAGATATTTTTCATGTGATGACAACCTAAGTGTTTTTTATTAGTCTTCACGACTCTATCGGCCTCAACCTTCGATCTAATGTCAGTACTGGGCAAAGTGAACAGGCCGATGTACAGCCCAGGGAGCACGTCAGAAATTGGGAGCTCAGCTCCCTCCTGGGCCGGGCGAGGGGCTACAGCATACGGGCGTCCAGCACTGCACCCGACCCTGCTGGGTCCCCGGTGAATATTACGTTCAGGCCGATTAAATAAAATCAGACTATTCAGCAGGTGGTGACTGCTACTACTCTGTGCACATCCCTGCAGTAAAGACGGGTGACAAGTCGTGATCAGAAACACCTTCACTGGCCTTCCTGAGCTGGAAGAGTGTGGACGTGGGTCGCTTACAGCACAGGGAGGCAGCCCCATGATGAGAGAAGAGCAGAGAGCTTTCAACACGTGAGGAAGCGGGTGGTGTGGGAAGTCAGGGAGGGCTCTCGGGAGGAAGTGCTTTTCCTAAGGTTGTACCTTAGAAACATAAGTGTTTCCAAAAGGTTAAAACGGGGAAAAATTCTGGAAAGATGGCCACTTGAGCACCCTGCCTTGGCAGGATGAGGCAGGCAATCAGTCTGATGACGGAGCTGGACAGACTGACCAATGGGCCCCTAAGAGGACACGGGGCAGGAGGCAGTTTCTGAACCTCAGCTGCATCTGACTGAGGTGAGACTGAGGCTACGGCAGAAAGGATCACGGAGTGCCAGTCCGCACGGCTCTCCAGACCAAGCTGCCCACTGGAGGAGGCTGTCCCTTGGTAACACGTGGGATCTGGAGACTTTGCTGGATTCACAGTCCCTGGAGAGCCAAGATGGGCTACATGGCTGGGCTGGCAGGACCACAAGGATGGCAGCTGAGGGTCTGGGAGCAAGAGGGGCACAAGAGAATTGGCATTTTTGTTCTAATACATCCCAGCTCATAGGAGCCAAGGCTATTGGGCCTCAGTGTTAAGGAGCTCGGCCCCCATCTCAAGCCTCCCAGCTCTGTGCACCCACCCAGGTGGACAGGAGGCGGGAGTAGTTAAATCAGGGTAACCATGGGTCTAAGGGGACCGGCCACCAAGGAGGGAAGACAGTAAGACATGCAGGTGGGTGGCTCCTGGTGGCACAGGAGAGCACCAATTAATGAATGCCCTTGAGGAGATCTAATTACAATTCAAAATGACTTTAAAAAGGAACAAATATGAAATAAAATCATATAAACTTAATATAAAGATATCTAAGGAGTCCGAACAAGCTAAGAACTGAATTAGTGGCCCGGAGGACCGAGCAGGAGGGCTTTCTTGAACACGCTGACAGATGCAGACATGAAGGTTGTGAGGGTAACAGCAGCGTGGAGAACTGATCTGGCTCGTGACTGAAAATAACAGGCCTCCAGCAAGGAGAGCAGGTGAGAGGACGGCTGTTCCAGGGAGAGGCCGAGTGGCAGCTGGGAGGGAACAGGGACTCCAGGCAGGTTCTTTCGGAGTATGTTTTAGGATGAAAGCTACAGAAAAAGGTTTACCTGGTGATGAGAATGAAGCACGTGTGTGTGCATGTGTGCTACACGTGTGACTGTGTGCATTTGTCCTGTGTGTGTCTGTGCATGGGCCCCTGTGTGTGCATGTGCATGCATGTGTGTCCGTGCATGTGAATGTGAGAGAAAGGTTGATTGATTTTTGAGACACACAAGGGAGCTGAGAGTAGTGAAAGTTTAATATCCCTGAGATGTTGAGAATAGATAGATCTAGGGCAAAGACTAGGAAATATTTTTGAATTCTTGCTGAATATAGCAAGATGAGCACTTTTATAACCTCTCCCAGGAGCAGGTACAAATGTTCTGTCACCCCGATGGTCACAGGACTGTGCCCAGGTCTCCCTTGTACCCAGAAAGCCAAAGCCTGTGTGTTCTAAGCCCCTTGAATGCTCCAGGAACAGGAGGGACATCGAGGCTATGACAGAAGCAGAGACGTGAATGTGGCTGGACACTCAGACATCACCGTCCACCCCGGTCCCGGCCTCAACATGTGGCCTGTGCAGTCACCCACCGGGTTTCCACCTGTCCTGACATCCACTATCATCCAGTGTCTGGTGTAAGCACTTTGCGGAGGAAATGGTAAATCCTCAGACCTCGGAAGATGTTGTAAACTTTACTCTACACACAATCAACCTCCTTTTAGTCTTGTCAGAGAAGCTGGTCGTCCTGAGAAATTGTTTCTGACCAGGGAGACACAGCCAACCTCCTGGAGGAGCTCGGGCCAGTGAGCTGTGCTTAGAATCACTGCGCTAACTTCAGCTCTTCAGGAAAGAAATCCTCTCCCACCCTGGTCACATCACAGTCTGGCCCGGAATCGGGAAGGGGCCTCTCTGTGCAAGGACCTCAGCGGACTAGAACCTCACTGAGCCCAGCCCGGAGCACCTTCCACTGCCAGGCCCCTCCCAAGGCCCAGCCACGGAGAAGTGGGGTGCGCCTCTGGCCAGTGTCACCTCATGACTCAGCAACAGTGGCCAGACGACAGCTTCACGTCTCATGTTTATGGCAACGTGCGCAGGAGCCACGGCAAGCGGTTTAAGGGCTCTGGGTGGAGGCTAGGCCCTTGGCCTTTACGTGCGCCCGCGCTCCGGGTGACCCAAGGCCTCGGCAGAGCAGGATTCTGCTACTGAGCAGCAAGGAGGACGGGGACCGGGAGGCTGTGCCTGAGGCCTTGACATCATCACAGCCACATCCACGCAGCATGGAGAGCATCGCTGTCCTGTTTCACTTTGTCTGTCTCGGGAAAGTCACACCCCAGCTAAAACCTTTATCGTTTCCATCCTGGTAGGTCAAATATTAAAATCTAAATATTTAAGCTATTGTCTTCACGAACACAAACAGGAGGGAGGAAACCTCGCTGACCAGCTTTCCAGCGGACTAGCCAGTAACAGCGCTCGGTGACAAATGGGAGGAGACGCGCCTTTAAATCAAATCCGTAACAATGCTGCAGCACGGGGCTGTTTATTTTCTCAGTAGTCATTCCCGAGTTAGCACCACTGCAAGGGAGTGGGTAGAAAATTAATGCATTTCTAAAAAATTTATTGATTTGAGAGAGGAGGGAGAGAGAAGCACCGATTTGTTGTTTCAACTACTCAGGGATTCAATTGTTGATTCCTGCATGTGCCCTGACCGGGGTTGAACCTGCGACCTTGGTGCATCAGGATGATGCTCTAATCAACTGAGCTACCTGGCCAGGGACATAATGCACATTTTAAACAACAGCAAAGGTGACAGGTCTGGGAATGTGAGCTGCAGGTGCAACTTACTCTTGTGACACAATTTATGTTTCTGGAGGAAGAGACTTCAACACCAATACCTAACAGTCCGGAAATTCCCCGCAGCCTTTATGGGGTCTGCTCGCTCGGGCCACCGGCGCCTCCGCCTGGGCCGGGCTTGTCTGATGAAAATTCTTCTCGTTGAAGCAGTGAACTCTGAATACAGCCCCTCAATAAAAACTTTAATTAATCAGGACGTGAGCACCATGTATAAAGCTGTCATATCACGAAGAGTATAAAATATTCTAATTGAAAGTGTCATCTAGTTGCTGAAATAGGTTCTCTCTCACACACCCTTGTCCTTCGGCGCAAGAGGGAAACGAGGAGACCCAGCGGGAAAGCGGTCGGGTGCACCTCAGGGGCCTCAGGAAGCAAGCCAGGCCGCCTGTCCACCTCGCGGCAAGGACAGCGGCTGACAAGGATCGCCTCAGCGCTCGCACGCAGTGTAGCACCCTTTGAATCAAGCTCTTTTTAAAATACTTGAATCCAGGAATTAATTAGGCAAAGCCATAAAAAGCAGAAATTCAAAATCAGATACCAGAACATAAATTCAAACTTGTCAAAAATCTGACCTCTGTGCAAAGTTTTAAAACCGATCGTTAAAACTCCAGTCCCCGAGCTGGTTCCCAGGCAGCACCTGGGCCTCGGCGTAAAGCCGGCGGCGGGCAGGAGGCGCAGCGGCCGGGGGCCTGGGCGTCGGCTCCTTCACGGCGCAGAGCCGGCCCCGCACCGCACGGAGAGCACGGCCCATGGCAGAGAAGATGCCAGCAGCGCCGGGGCGCGTCTCACCTGTTTTCTGTGGCCCGATGACGAGGAATTTTGGTAAGTGGTCGCACGTCTTCTCCCTGGACCAGATGTCCTTGTGCCGCCTGTCGTCACAGGGGTTCTGCAAAGAGGAAGAGTGATGAAGCTCCGGAGCAAGACCGCCTGGCCCATCGTCGGGATGCTCAGAGGACAGGAGGGACGCAGCCTGGACCCCGGCCTGGGATCAGACCCCGTTCCCGTCCTGCTTCTCCGATTCCAGAGGCTCCCTTCCAGCAGGTCTGCCCGTGGTCACCCGCCTCTGGCGTGGCCGGGCTCCCGCCGCCGGGCCCAGCCCTCAGGTCTGTTCCCGCCTGGGTACCGCGCCCGCCCTCGCCTGCACCTGGCTTGGCCGCACTTTCTGGGATATCCGCACTCTGCCCTAATCTTTCCCCTTCCCCCGGAGGCTGGGGGGCAGCCCTGAACTCCAGGCTTGGTCTCCTCTCCTCTCCTCTCCTCTCCTCTCCTCTCCTCTCCTCACACTTGCGAACTTGACGCTGACCCTGCTGGTCCACGGTGTCACCCAGCCCGCGAGCCGATGGCACCTGGAGTGATGGCGGAGCTGCCGTGCCCCTCCCTCCTGTGCCGCTGCGGGCGGTGATGGGGAGGAAGCGCCAACCCCGCGTCTCCATGGACCAGCTTTCTACCTCGACCTTCCCTCCTGCTCCACCCCATTCCGTGGCAGGACCCACGGCCATCACCCAACCACGACACTCCTGAGAATTACAGGGGCCCTTAAATGATGAGAGCTCAGTGTTGAAATAGTCAGTGAAGGGCACACGGGCTTCATTCTACTGGCAACTCAAAAATAATCATATTCAAAGCTCAGGTTCACACAATTCTCAAAACCGTATGCCGGGCATTAAAACAATCCCATTTTTTAGTCCACATATTTAATGTGACGTTAAGTGACCCACGGTTCACACTGGCTTCCTTTACTTGGTTGCTCAGCCGGGCCTCCCTGCCGTCCCACGTCCGGAGACCTCAAAGAGTGACCGTGTTCAGTGTGACCTGACTCTGACTTTTCCATGAAGGTGCCAGCAGTCCTTTCCAGAGGTGCTTCGTGGCTCGTGAGCGTGCAGGGCTGACACCAGCCGCGAGTCCTCTGGCCACTGTGTTTCTAGCAGGGGGAGAGCTTTCTCTAAGTGGGGCTAAGCTCAGAGTAAATTCTGTCAAAGGGGAATATTTCAGTTCAATTTTTTTCATACTGAAATGTCTAGATATTAGAGATCAAATATTCTCACATTAATTTTCCACTTATCAAGTGTATTTTTTGAACAAACTTTTTTGTGTTTTTTGACAAATATTTTTTCAAGGTAAAACTTGTCAAATCAGTTTTAATTATGATTTTTTTGACCATTTTTGTCAAACGCAGGTTCTGCAGACCAGAGGCTTCTGGGTCACAGTCCATTCCCGCTCCCAGCATAACTCCCTTAATGAAAGTGGGGGCTGAGGGAAGAAAGGCTCACGACGGTGACCTTCCACGGCTCAGCGAAACAGTGCCTGCCAACCCTCGTGTCCTTCGAATCGCCATTACTTCATTTGTTTAGTCTCTTCCCTTCTTGTTTTAAAGCTTTGTCTTATTTTTTAAAGATGGCAAGAAGCACCAAAGGGAAAATTGTTATTTAAATATATTTTTTCCTCAAAATAATATTTTTTCAAGAACAATTTTTCAAGCTAATTCTTGTCCATGTCCTTAAATAGCCTGAAAGGTCCTGGGTCACCTTCACACCCGGGAAGTTCCTGGCCTGCGTGTCGGCGAGGTGATGCTAGCTGGACACAGTGGGTAATGCGTGGAGATTACTCGGCTGCCTCAGTGGACACAAGCCCTCGGAGGTGGAGGCCCACCAGCGAAGTTCCAGAGCCCAGCACCTCGGCGTCCTCAGTGGTGCAGTGTCCGGCACAGGCTGGGGCATCCTCTCCAAAGTGAAGGCTGCGTCCTGTGCTTTGAGCTGAGAAAGCGTGGGCTCCACGGGCCTCCGGGTTTGGGCAGCATTTTATTCCTCTAGGGAATGCGCTGTGTCGCTGGCTGGACGATGCAGAGCTGCTAGTTTGAGTGGAACCCAGAACAAGGACCTGCCCACAGGAGGCAGCACTGAGGTGCAGGGCAGCCCTCCTGGGCCACACGTCACAGGGACCCAGGGTACCCCAGCTCTCTGGTGTAAACAGGAGTTTTGGTCAATCTTCAGGGGAGACTAACCGTGTGCACCCCTGGGTGCTGCAGCAGGGGTGCCGCCAGACCACTTGGCGTTCTCCTGGGCCTGGAACACAGGCCACCTGTATGCTGAGCACCTGCCAACTTGAGGCCTGGATGACCTTGTGGACGGAGCTGGCCTCTGCCCACTTGTAGCGAGAACTACACCTGTTTTATTCAGCCGCCGTGTTCCTGGAAAGCCCTCATCACAGCAACCTTGCCTGCACCCTACATAGTATTTCAAAGCATTTGTCTTGACAAGATGAGGAACTGCTGTCAGAGGAGAACAGCCACCGTGCATCAGGGAGAACATCCTGCTGCAGGGGAAATAACTCCAGCCCAGCGGGTGCCTGCTCCGCGGCAGGACAGATCCCGCAGGCACGGTCACAGCAGGTCACTAGGAGCCCGCTCACGGGCCTCACTTGGGGCATCCCTGCTCGGAACCAGCAACTGCCACCTGCCATCAGGGCTGCCACTAGATGTGCCCCCCCTGCTCCCCTGCCGCAGACACATGCAAGCCTGCCCTTCAGTCTGGAAATAATCTATTTTTCTGTGCAATGCTCTATATTTTTTCCAATTCAATGAAACTTCGCCAATTCTTCTAGCATGAGCTAATATCTACCCTAAACCTTTCCTATTTATTTTGTTGTTAAGAGTATGAGCTCAAGAGGAAGACTGCCCGTCTTAAGCAATTTTCCTAAATTCTCTGGGCTTGGGTTTCCTTCTAATGATTGCTAGTATCTGCTCATGACTGTTGAGGGGCTGAATGGGTTAAAATGATGAAACTGCTCTATGAGAGAGGTGCTTATTGTGAGGTCCCACGTTACCCCCCTTCTTTGTCCAGGTGAGGTAAGCTATTGGAGAAACAGAAAGACCCCACTCTTACTGATGGACAGGTTTGTTGCTGATGTGTCCTGAGGGCAGATGTCCATCTGGTCCACGTCAGAATGCACACACCTTGGGTGGCTGCCCCCCCAGGAGAAATATCCGTCATTGTCAGATGACTAGACTTCTGGGATGTATGAGTCCTAGGCAGGGGAGGAGCAGGAGGCTTCTGCAGGTGACCCGAGGGCAGGGGTTGCCCTACAGGTACCCAAATACCTCTATAGGTTACTGATCCCATTTACTTCTGGATACACTTGCTGCCCGGCTCCTGCAACTCATCCAACTAACTGACACAGGACTTGTCATCCTTCAGGTCTCAACTTGAATGTCACCCTGTGCGAGGCCCTCCCCTGACTCCTGCGTCTATGACATTTCCCGTCATATCTTCACCGCATCTCAGTACCTGGGATTGTTTACCCAAGGGTATGTTTATAGTATTTTACATAATACACGTAAGTAGTACAGTTAGAGTGACAATAATTCTGTCTCAACTAGAGTGAAGCTCTCTGACCGGGAGGCCTCTTATTGCTACAGTGTCACACAGGACGGGGCAGGCAAGTGAGGACGAGTGACTCATGGGCCGATGGGACGGACACAGTGAGCAGCTACTACCAGATGGAGCGTGTGCCAGCCCTGACAGACGCTGGCACATGCTCCAAAGCTAAGGTAATGTGGACCGTGGAGATGTTCCATTTCCCCACCTCCCACAGAGAACCGCTCGGCCTCCAGCGCCGTCTCGCAAGGCGGCCCGAAGCTGGTTCCCGCGCTATTCGCCCCGTCACTGCCTTGGACCATTTTCCTCACACAGCACCTGCTTCCTTTGTGCAGAACCTTACTCCTCGGTGCACTTTAGATGTTCAGCAATAGAAAGGCAGGTGCCGTGAGCTATGCTTATTGGGTTTCTTCCCATAGAACTCAACACAGAAGACACGGGCGGAGTCCAGGTGCTTGCTCAGGTGGTCTTCCTGCCTCATGAGGCAGGTGAGCCAGGCGCGGATGGTCGGAGCCCCTGGAAAGCCAGTCTTTTGTGGGTTCTTGGCTCCACGCGTGCAGCAGGCCACGCGTCTCCTCCACTGCCATCCACGTGTCTCCTCCACTGCCGCCCACGTGTCTGCCATTCAAAGTTGTGCTTGGAAGAAGTAAAGCATCCCCAGACCTGGGAGGCTTGACATCAGATGAGGGAAGACTTTCCTGTGACTGTCACACTCAGGACATTGCTAAACAGCCTTGTGTGCTGGCAGGTGTGACCTATCAGGTAGAGTCACCAGGATGCTAGGCTGTTATGACACTTCTTGAAAGCAAGCAACTAGGCTGATGCCCCTGACTTGTGCTCTCACATCTCTAATTCTCTGCTCCTCCCGCAGGCACACAGTGACAGACCTGCATTGTGTCTGTCACCAGCCCTGTGACTCGTGTATGTCATGTGTGTTCAAATCTCAGCCTTCTGAGCTGGTGTGGAAACTCACAGCCACAGTCAACAGTGGTGTGACCCTCCCAAGGTTGGCCCCCAGCTCTCTGTCCCACTGTGATGCTGTAGACAGGCAGGGAGGAGAGGGCCCAGTCCCTGCAAGCCCGTGGCCCCGTGCCAGGGTGCTTGGTGACAGTGAGGCCGTGTGACTGAGTGGAGACTGAGACGGCGCTACTCTGACAGCTTGAGAGCTTAAAGCATTGATCTGCGGACGTGTAGGCATCGACCTTCTGCCTGTCTCCATGTTGTGCTTTTGGTTTCTGTAATGAGAGTTTAAAAAAAGAGGAAACCCTATTCCTTCATGATTCTTTCATGACTGTTCTATCAAAACCAAGGGGGAGGTGAATTAACAGGAACCCGAGAACATAATTTTAAGAACCCCACACCCCAGGGGTCCATGGAAGGGGGTATACACTTGGAGACAGAGTTCTGTGTGTCATGGGTACCTATCCCCAGGTGACAGCTTTGAGGGTCTCAGCCTCCCTCAAAGTGAGCACAGACACGCTCCGATGGTCCTGCCGCGCTGTGGACTGACACTCCCGCGGCAATTTTTAATTAGGTGACAAAGCAGTTTCACATATGTGGCAGTTGGTGCTAATGAAAATTTACATAAGGAGCTGAAGGAAATTAAATAGATGCGAAGTGTCGACAATAAAAATAAAGTAAAAAATAGATGCAAAAATTATCATTTTGCACTTTTTCTTTTTATTTGTGGTAATAAAAAAGTGTGAATTGAAAATCTAAAGAAAAATGACAGCTGACTTAGTTGTCAAGAGTGAAGCGCGCTCAGTGAGATGCATGCTGACCGAGCCAGAGAGGGCCCAGGCATCGGACTGTGGGCCGACAGCAGACCCTCGCCGCCTCGTCTGTCCTGCTAGCTGTGCGTCTGTGTTTTCCATGACACCGCCTCGCTGTGCAAAGGGCGGGGCGGCATGCTCGCAGCTGGGCTTGTCTGCGGTGTAACGTGGACAGGAGAGAAGGGGCCCGGGAGGGGCTGGCGAGCACTGCTCCCTGATCTCAGCCGCGCGCAGCCCGCCTCACTCGACCGACGGTCTGCGGCATTTCCCTCCACCCGGCGGCGTGCCCGCGGCTGGGGCTGAGTGACGCCCCGTGACCCTCAGCCCCACCCGCTTCCTGTTCCTTCTGAAACACATTTGAGGGCCTGTGGCACTTTCGTTACTGTGAGACGTTTGCAACCTTCTCTGCAGTCACAGGAAACCCCACAAACGACATAGTTCACGTAATAAAACGAGAGTCTTTAACTAATCATTTACCCCGGAGTGACTAAAATACTCTTACAATAAGCTGTTTTATTATGTGAAAATTTCTAAACTTATAAAAATGACAGCACAACAGCAGGAGGCTGCGAGCTCTCTGAAGCCCTTTCTGGTGCATCTTCCATTTGCCAGGCGCTTCCCGGGAACTCCCTCTATGACACTAGTCAAGAGCAAAGCTCTCGGGCCTGCAGATGTTTGATATCTGTGTCTGTGTCTGTCCCAATGTTTTCCGCAGCGACGCGGGTCCCTGGAAACAGCTCTGTTTCCTGTTTCTAACCTTCCTCTCCGCCCCCAGTAAACGAGCGCCCTACTTCAGGCCTAACCGACATGCAGCAGCATCCTGGGGACCAGCTCCCACAGGAGCCGGCGCCTCTTGGATCGCATTCACTCCCGCACAAATAAACAGCGTCACTGATATCGAAACAATATCAACAAAACAGCTCTCTAGTTCACAAAACTCATGCAACATTAACGAATACAAATTCTTCATTAAAACAGCATTTTCTCTATATGAAAAGAATCAAGCTTGGGACGTGGGCTCATTTTTATGTGTCCGCTGTCTGCAGCTGCTTTGAAGGCGGCTGCTGTTTCTTCTTGTGCCATGAGTTACAGACATCCCACAAATGAACATGTGTGGGAAATGAATGATTTCTCTCATGACTTGTCAATTTTTGAAGTGCGTGTGCACCTTTGAGGAACTGCCATCCAGGGGACACGATGCTTCTCCTTATGAAATTCAGCATCGACTTGGCGGACTCTATGCACCATAATAACTGTGACCTTATCTATTTATCCATCTCTCTATACACCAAATGCAGATGGGCAAGTAAGGTATTGGAGGGGCGGAACGCCTGGTGGGAGGACGCGCTGGCAGGAGGCGGGCAGGGCCTAACCCTGCGGCGGTCGCCTGAACACGCACCTAGAGACATGTGGCAGTGAACCAGGCTGACAAGGAAAGCCCCCCGGGCGTGGACAGGAAACTCTCTTTGGCTCTTCTTTGTGTTCCCTAGAGCAGCTGCCCTGCCTCCCACAGAAGGATGCTCAGTCCACACCTGTTGGACGGATCCCCGGCTGTACAGACGGTGACATGTAGCAGGAACCGTGGAGTAAAGAGCAACACAGGCCTGAGGTTTTGTTTGTTGGTCCAGTTGGTTGGGGACCTTCGCGTCAAGGGTGTTGTTTGTGGTTTGTGTCTGTTTCTCAGTGACTTCTCAGGAGCGATGCTGCTGCTCCACTGCCCGCCGCTTGGCGGGGACCGTCCGACCGGCTCCCTGCAGCCGGCTCAGCGATGCCATGGTCTGTGCAGCCGGAGGCATAAAGAGCCGGGGGGAGGCAGCCTTTCCTGACAACGGCTGGAAAGCGGGGAGCTTGCATCTCCGTGCACTGAGGGTGAGCTCCTGGGTGAGGCTGGGCTGTGTGAGAGCAACCCTAACGCTGGTGATTCTTTCTCTTATCCACAGAGCTGTGCCCAGTGAAGGATCGGTTAGATTTACAGGAATGTGAGGCATGGTGAAGACAGACTATGCTGAGCACGAGGCAAAAAAGCCTCTTCCCTTTTAATTTTTACCTTCCGGGCCTGCGCATCCAGGTCGAGGTCTAGTTACAGGGTCTGAGATTATGGCGCTTCAGTATCTGTTCCTCTAGACCCCCAGGTCTGGCCATTTTGGGGCGAGATGTACTCACCCTGAGAAGACACGAACCACAAACAACACCCTTGATGCAAAAGTCCCCAACCAACCGGACCAACAAAGGAAACCTCAGAAACACCCACCACAGAAAAATACAAACACTTAACCCATCAAACAAACAAAACGTATCACTGAAGAGAATAAAAACCATTGGATGAGAAGCCTGTTAAGTGCTGGCTTTACTCTCTGCAGCAAAGCTCCTACAGCGACCAGGCTCTCAGTGTCTCACCCCCTCCCATGCCCGGCGCCCTGAGAGATGTGCCCTACCTGCCAGAGAGGGTCTCTCTGCTCCGGGAAGAGCTCAAAATACTTGCGGGCCAGCTGCACAGGGGGCAGAGTCTGTAGCCTCAGGTTGGTCCAGCTCTGCACGAAGTTGGCCAGGTTCACGAAGGTGTATGACCCTAGGCGGTCATTCCCATAGTTTGATAAGTGGGTCATGAAAATGCTGATCTGAAAGATAAATAAGAATGGCCATAAAATAGCAGGTGCAAAAGCTCAAAAGTAGCAAAGGAGCTCTAGGCAGTGCCTCCCTAACCTTGGGATTTCAGGAGAAGTACAATCGTCATTTTAGCTGGTGCTATAGAATGAATTGCATCCCCTCAAATTCATATGTAACTGTATTCAATTCAATGTGACTGTATTCAGAGATTAGGACCCAAAGGAGGTAACAAAGGTTAAGTGAAGTCATCAGGGTGGGGCCCTAATCTGATAGGTCTGGTGCCCTTATAAGAAGAGGGTTCTCTCTCTCTTTGCCCCCCTCCACCCCCATCAGTGCACAGAGAAGAGCCCAGTGAGGACACAGCCAGCTGTCTGTAGTCAGGAAGAGAGGTCTCATTGGAAATCAGAACTGGGTTAGCACGGCCTCAATTCTGGCCTCTAGCGTCCGGAGCTGGGAGCTGGAAGAAAATAAATGTCTGTGTTTAAGCCCCCCAGTCTGTGGTACCTGTTTGGGCAGCTTATGCAGACAAATGCCGGTGGGAAGCCACAATTTGATTAAAACTTCAAAAATCACTCTTAAACTCACTCTTTAAGATTGAAGTTGGGCTTGGCATTCCCTCACTCCTCATTAATTGTGTAGTATCACTTTCCATGTCAGTTTTTCCCCATTGTGGAATCAAGACCGTCAAACCCAATAACCTAATAACTTGCAGACCAGTGAGGACGCAGCATCACCGAGTTCTGAATCAGACAGCTCTTCCAGGCCTCTCCTGCTGTGGGCTGCACAGAGCCTCAAGGAGACCTGTCCCTCTGGTCTAATGAGGAACTTTTACTGCAGTAAAGAAACTGTGAATGTTTGCATGAAACAGACCACATTTAGCCAAAAACTCTTCCATACTCATCAATCCTCTTATAATTTTTCCTACCTCAATACTACTAGTTGTAAAAGCACATGATTTCAGTATTGTGCTTTTGTGGATGAGAGACCAGGGAGGAGTGGAACCTAGATTGGCTGCTGCTGAAAGAACATCAGAGACTGATTTGGATCTGGATATAATCCAGTATATAGACCATCGGGGGCCACAGAGCAGTGCTAATAAAGACAGAGTTCTATACGACTAAAAAACCCCACACTATATAGAGAGNACCAGGGAGGAGTGGAACCTAGATTGGCTGCTGCTGAAAGAACATCAGAGACTGATTTGGATCTGGATATAATCCAGTATATAGACCATCGGGGGCCACAGAGCAGTGCTAATAAAGACAGAGCTCTATACGACTAAAAAACCCCACACTATATAGAGAGCTTGCACAATCTTGATCTAAATGGAAGAAGTGACTGCCCTAGTGGTGTGGCTCTGTTGTTTGGAGCTTTGTCCTGTGCACCAGAAGTTCTCGGGTTCCATTCCCAGTTAGGGCATGGGTTTGATTCCTGGCTGGGGCATGGACAGGAGGCAACAGGTGAATGTATCTCTCTCACATCAATGTTCCTCTCTCTCTCNGGTGTGGCTCTGTTGTTTGGAGCTTTGTCCTGTGCACCAGAAGTTCTCGGGTTCCATTCCCAGTTAGGGCATGGGTTTGATTCCTGGCTGGGGCATGGACAGGAGGCAACAGATGAATGTATCTCTCTCACATCAATGTTCCTCTCTCTCTCTCTCTCTCTCTCTTCCTTCCTCCCTCTCTAAAATCAATAAAAATAAATAATAAATAAATGGCAGTCATCATCTTCTGCCATAATCATTATATGCGCTTGTTCCTCAGTCTCATATTGTATTTACATAGAAGTGCTGTGAAGACTCATTTTATTACTTATTATTTATATCTATAAATAGTTCAGAGCAATTAAAATATTATAACTAAGGACTTTATTAACTTCATTAGAAAAGCAAAAGTAATATAATGTTACAAGAATAACATTAAAACAGATATAATCTGTGAAATTAACCAGAAAATAATCCTTCAGGTCAGTATGTAGAAGAAGGTACCGTGTAATAAGCCTGTTTTTGTAGGAACGCTTCCTAACTCTCTCTGAAGGGCTTTGTGAGCTTATTTGGGTTATTTGGGAAATAAAAGTGGGTTTTCAGTAACCACAGCAATATGATGTCATTACGACATGATAGGAATGGTCAGCTGTGTAGTAATGATTGTGCACATGAAAGTTCTGTTCCCAAGACCTAGCATGTCATTGGATAGTTGCAGATGCCCAAAGAGTACACCATTGTCTTAATAAATAAAGCTCCTACCAGAATTTAGAACCAGTGCTCTGGCTGGGTCCTACAAGATGCAAGTTAGAGATGTCAGGGAGATTCTAAGATGGCTGTGGACTGAGTGGAAGCTACACTGACACTCTCCCAGGACCAAACTAGAATTACAACTAAAATAGAGAAAAACCATCCTGAATAATCAACTGCTACTGAAGACGAGCTGGAGAGCACCCTCATAACCAAGGAGGAAAAGAGGAGACCACATAGAGACTGGTAGGAAGTGCGGAAGCACCAGAGGGCTGGCTGGGCTCCCACAGGCAGCAGCTGAAGGTCAGGAAGAAGATCTCAGCTGTGGGGGGTTCCCACTGAGGACTTTGGGGCCTCAACTCCAAGCTGGGCTCCCCAGCCCAGAGCACCAGACCTGAGAAAGGTGCCCAAATAACATCAGACTTTGAAAAGCAGCAGGATTTCTGTCTTCCAGGGGGAGACGGCTAGAAACACAGGCACCTTCTTTTTTTTTTTTTTTTTTT